GGAAGGATGCTGGGAATTCAATGGGCGGAATATGTGTGCAGTGAGGAACTCTTAAGAATGAGAAAAAGTCAGTTGAAATATCTAGGACACATAATGGGGAAAGAAAGCTTGGAGAATTTGACACTCACAGGATATACTGAAAGCAAGGAGAGAGGAAAAAGCGAGTAATCTACCTAACGAATTTGTATAAGTGGACAGCTGAATAGAAAATGGAAGAAGTCACGTGCAGAAGTATGGTGATGTTTGTTGCTGCCCGGGGCCAACTACTTGATTGTATGCCCTTAAGACTCAAGTAGGGGGGGATGATATAGGGCCTAGTACTGAAAAATGTGAGGAAGGAAGACATTTTAAATTTGTAAAAACAGCTGAAACATGAAATAAACACTTTATTCAAATTAGATTTACACTGCGTTTATCGAGATAACTTTTTTCTAATATTTCAAAAACCGTCCAATCAATTCACACAAAATTTTCGTACTGATCTGCGCAATGTAAACAAACTGGTGCCATATTTGTTATCAGCACGGTGATTTGAGCGTGCCAAATTATTAGAAAAGTATAAGAATTTAGTGAAAAGATGGGCCGTAAAAGCAGTTTAAGTGATGCTGAAAAGAAAACTATTACCTCAGAACTCTCAAAAGGTAAATCTACCCTAGAAATTTTTAAAATGATAGGGAAGTGTCATCAAACAGTTAAAAATTCACCGCCGACCCTACACAAGTACGCAAAAGAGCATATAAAGGCAAGCCGAAGGTTATTTCACGTCGTCTCATGTCACGGCTTAAATGAGAGGCCATGAAGAACCCTGGACTTACCAGTCAAGAGCTTTTCCGTCGTATTGGGGATCCTACTGTGTCTAAAAGTACTCGGTGTCGGTATCTGAGGGAAATCGCAACAACAGTCAAACCTGTATCGAAGCCTCCGTTGACGAGAAATCACATTCAAAATCGATGGAAATGGGACGAGGACAATATGAAGATTGACTTCTCTAAAGTTTTATTCACGGACGAAACTCGAGCAACACTTGATTGGCCAGATAGATGGTGAAAAGGCTGGGCAATGAACGGACAGAATCTCCATCAGCGTTTGAGACGCCAACAAGGCGGTGGAGGCATAATGATCTGGGGTGTGATTATTGGGAAAACATTAGTGGGCCCATGGAGAGTACCAGATGGCGTCAAAAATGACTGCTGATGCATACATAGCGTTTATGAAGGAGCATCTTGAACCGTGGATGAAAAGGCAAAGAGTTGCCTTCAGAAGGGACATTGTTTTTTTATGCAAGATAACGCTCCCTCACATGCTGCTCACAAGACTACTGAATATTTGAAACAGTTATGCTTCGATGGACCTCGATAAATGAAGGAGCCAGCAAATTCTCCAGATTTGAAACCAATCGAAAACCTTTGGAGCATCATGAAGCGAAGACTGTACGCCAACGGACGACAACCCAGGAGCAACGCTGAGTTGTGGGAAGTAATTCTTGACATATCTCGCGGCATTACAGCAGATGACATCCTACAATTAACAAATTCTATGGATCGTCGACTTTTTCAAGTAATTTCAAAACAAGGAAAGCACATTACCTATTAATTTGTTTAAAACAGTGCCTTTGTTTGTATCTGTTATTATTTGTTTGATTATCTTATTTATTAAACTTCTTTTGATCATAAACATTCGTTCAACATTAATAAACGTTTTGTTTGCTCAATTCTGGGAATTTTACTAAACCTTTCTAATAATTTGGCACGCTCAAATCACCGTGCTGATAACAAATATGGTGCCAGTTTATTTACATTGCGCAGATCAGTACGAAAATTTCAGTGATTGCGCAGCTCCGTGTTGCCAAGATTGTATCAAGATTTTGTGTGTATTGATTGGATGGTTTTGAAATATTAGAAAAAAAGTTATCTCGATAATAATTTGGCACGTAGTGTAAATCAAATTTTTTATTTCACTCTTTTATCGGATGCCCTCCCGATATGTATGCCTGGGGGTGTTGCACTTTCTGCCCCCAACCACTAAAACAAAAAAATGTTACCAAGAGTGACGAAACATAGAAAGTTGTGGAGAGACATGATTACCTATTTCCTGAAGGTCTACATAAAATATCCCATATTAAGTACATCGGGCTTTTTCTCCAAGCAGTCTGTCTAAAATTTAAAATAGCTGCATTTTTCTATTGACACGAATCTATGTTTAAGTTCTGAAATCTGCTTTTAAGATATGCACAATCAGTCCATGAGAATTAAACCAGTTCTTTTCTTAACGCTTACTTGCATTGGATAAATCATTTAAAAAAATAAATACAGTTTTGATAAGGAATACAATGTAATCCCTCTCAATACTGAAAGAAAATTTTAAATTTGATGACATTACATTCACTGAAACCAACGTGTATCTCTTCTCAATAGACGACTAATGTTCGTTGCGTGCAAACTTAAAAATGAGATTTGATTATTTATTCAAATTTTATCGAGTACAGAACCTCCACCTGCCAATGTGACGTGCACCCAATGTTATCTGCACGATATAAGTTTGTGGTTATGCATATTGTACAAGTCCATCAACCGGAAGCTGATTACGTTATAAAGTTAAATTCACCAATGTAACGACAAGGCGATTGAAGGATTCTATAATATTATCGATTTAAAAGAAAGAGAAATTTCTGAATTGTACATAAAAGAACTTTCTCGTAAACGAAAACCGAGAGAAAAACTAATTTCAAAATTTTGTCTATTTTGTCGCTAAGAGAGTCCGCATAAAAATGATAGTCATTTATTGCCAGAAAAGTTATTAAATTTTGAATTGTATACTGTCAATTGAAGGCATTGAAAGATCGTTATCCATATCTCCAAAATGTTACACTCCACACTTAACAACTGGATTCCATTCCACTCATCTGGTTGCTAAGTACATTAGTCGCAAAGTTGTACGTAATCACTAATTTAATTATACTATGCGTATAATAGGATTGCGTCAACTGGCTTCAGGTAGCTTTTATCACACTTTTGCAATATTTCAGACATTTCAAACTAAATTGATAGATAGATATATAAAAAAAAATATATGATAAATAGATTTCTAATGTCTTTTACAATACAGTAATGTACTGAATAATAAACGTAATAATCGAACATCATCTCTAGATTCTATATATTACTTAGGTTTCGATTTTTTAAACATATGACCATAATTGGTTGGAGACGGAAGGTGCAATGGCCCCGGGCATTCATATCGGGTGGGCATCCAATCAAAGAGTGAAATAAAAATTTGATTTATATTTAATTTAATTTACTGAGAGAGCCACTAGCATGCATGGGGTTACAGATAGTGTGAGCAAGAGTTAAGAAGGGTGTTTGGGGAAAGGATAAAGAGAAGGATAAATCAGTGTATGTCTATAATTTCTGAGATGAGGTATTATGCACACTATTTACATTATTCGGACTATTGTCCCTATTTTTATCGCCATATTTATTATAACGTTTCGGCCGTTGAACGCTCCGGCCTTCTTCAGGTGGTTGGAATGTCGAACTGAACCCTTTATTTCGCTCACTGGACACATGGCACAGTGGATAAAGGTGTTGGTTAGATCCAGTGACAAGACCCAAAACAGTGTGAGTTCAATACCCGGTTAAGGCAGTGGAGAACTTTGAAAGGGGAATTAACAGGAGATAACTGATAACTGACATCCATTAAACATGTCACGTGGAACTAGAACAGTCTACCCCAGTTAGCGAAATAAAGGGTTCAGTTCGACATTCTGAAGAAGGTCGGAGCGTACAAGGGCCGAAACGTTGTGATAAATATGGTGACAAAGATGAGGACAATAGTCTGAATAATGTAAATAATGAATGAAAACCGTAACCGGTTTCTATAAGAAAAGACACAGTTAACCGGAAAGTTCTAGGTAAGTCAATGTATGTCAACGTGATTGACGGAAAAGAAAAGAAAAGGTCACTAAGCTCTTAAGAAATCCATCACTCATTACAACCCAGGAAGACTTCAAAATTTCACTTATTTTACTTAAGGACATACACAGGACAATACACTATCTCGCCATATTTCTAGGTAAGTTATTTCTGAAACGACTGGTAGAGGGTGAATAGACCATGCTGAGATTCGATGCTTCTATGCATTTTATGGCATGAATGTTTGACTTCAGTTTACCTTCAATTAGATCGTCGGACGTACAAGGTAAGACAGTAAAGTACACCATTCTATCTAACACATATGCGAGTGGAGAGTGAGGGAGAAGCTATAATTTAGCCTTTCTCAAGGGAATTTGTGCAAAATGGACGCAACAGACTCACAGATATCTGTTTAGACACTGATAACCGTTAGCTAAACTTACATCAGCAATTCCCTCTCTCCTCTCTCTCTCTCTCTCTATATATATATATATATATATATATATATATATATATGGAGAGAGAGAGACAAAGACAAACAGACAGATGATTGATATATGTGTATAATAAACTTGAATAATACACTGAAGCACTGCCAAAATTCAAATCAACATTTGACAGATAGATAGATAGATATGAAGAGAATAAGATAGATAGATAGATAGATAGATAGATAGATAGATAGATAGATAGATAACTATTCTATAAATAATTTCACGGTAAATGTTCTGAAGAACCCTCCTGTATGATACCCAAACTCTATGAATTTAAGCGCATTACTAGATTGGCAGCAAGTTCTCATCATTTGAAAGACGAAATGGCTCGATGTAATCGTAAGTTCTATGCTGAAAATCTTTTCTTTCGTCCTTCTTGTTTGTAGAACTCTTCCGGCTTCTTGCTTTACAGTCAAGTTTAATCTTTGAAAATTTAAATGTCATGTCAATAGTTATTCTTTGTTCACTAAAATTCTATTATTTTATTCTTTTCAGTCCTTAATAGTGTTTTTTTCTTATATTCTTTCACCCTCATTACTCCTTTGCGTGCTAGTGGCTATGCTATCTTGCTTGGGGTGAAATGATTAAAAAGATGTTAGATAGATAGATAGATAGATAGATAGATAGATAGATAGATAGATAGATAGATGAACATACCGAGATAGACAGGTAGATAGATAGATAGAGAGAGAGATAGATAGATAGATAGAGAAAGAGAGAGAGAGATGAACAGAATAGATAGATAGATAGATAGATAGATAGATAGATAGATAGATAGATAGATGAACATACCGAGACAGATAGATAGATAGATAGAGAGAGAGAGAGAGAAAGAGAGAGAGAGCAACAGAATAGATAGATAGATAGATAGATAGATGAACATACCGAGACAGATAGATAGATAGATAGATAGATAGGGAGAGAGAGAAAGAGAGAGAGCAACAGAATAGATAGATAGATAGATAGATAGATAGATAGATAGATAGATAGATAGATAGATAGATAGATAGATAGATAGATATGAACAGAATGGGATAAATTGATAGATAGGCATATAAGAAAAGTATATGATAGCTAGATAGATAGATAGAAAAGATAGATCGATAGATAGACCAGAAAGCTAAGAAAGCATTAAACAGAAATAATAATAAAAAAACAGAAAAGAAATGAATGAAATGATTTATAAACTCTTTCGCTTATAACGTCATTTCAACTTTCCCTAAAATACTTGTTCCCTTATAAGTTATCTTATCTTTCAGTCTTTCTAAGTTATTTTCTCTTCACTTTATTCGGGTGTAGCTGTTCTTTGACAAGGTCCCTCATGTGCCACCCTCAGTGAAATTCCGATTATTCCTCTGCAGCAGAACCAAATGACGAAGTGCCAACGTGAAGAACACAAACATCGAAAACAGTATCAACTCCGATGATAAGCATTATAGTTATTTCGTTCTTTGAAAAAGCCGAAGCTCACAGGTGGAAACTTTTGGGCGAAATAAAACGAAAGAACGTGCCGATAAAACCTATGTCAAAATAGACGGTGACATATATTTTATGGCGCGGCCGTTATAAAAGGCGGGGTTTGGTAAAGGTGTTGAGAAATAAAGGGATAAAATGAGTCTTGGAGTCGGCATAGAAAGTCAGAAGAGGTGGGAACTGGGAGCGAAATGTGCTGACAATGCGAATGAGAAGTGGCAGCACGTGGCATTTATTAAGATTATGGTTGGTGCTATGGCACCTGATCGTATGGCACTTCCATGTCACAGAGCAAAAACTAAAAGTCTCTGCGCTGCATTGCACATACGAAGGCAATGCGGTAGATTATCTATATATGTCTGTCTATACCTACTTCTATCGCCATGGTCACCATATATATATATATATATATATATATATATATATATATATATATATATATATATATACACACTCTCACATGGTGACCATGGCGTTAGAAGTAGGTATAGATATACATATATAGATAATCTACCGCGTTGCGTTATATATATATATATATATATATATATATATATATATATATATTACATGCAAGGTGACCACTGAAAGGATGAATGATATAAAACAAAAGTAACTTTTACAAACACATGGGTATCTTAGGGTAGTAATGTTTGTATCATTTGAGTCTTGTATGGAAACATTTTTAAATCCAGTTTCAAAATCTTCTGAAGCGATGTTCTGGCGGGTGTCTAGTTGAGCAGAACGACAATGGATAGAAGTTGATGGAGCCTCAAGGAAACTTTGTCGTACAGTTTTCACCGCTGATTCAGTGCGCATCGTGCGCTTAGGACCACTTCCAGGAAGATCGCCGACTGATCCCGTCTTTTCACACCGGGCGATTAGCTTCCGAAACATGTTATTGCTAGGAAATACTCTGGTATTAAAATGTTGCCGGTATTTTCTCTGAGTTTGAATTTTTGAACTTTCATTGAAATAGAAACAGTTAATGAGTATTTCTCATTGCGAAACATCATACGTAGCCATTTTAATCTCCAAGGGATACTCTATAACCTGCAAAATATTGAAATAAAAAAAATATATTGAAGGCGAACAAGTTATGATATTTGAAACCCTTCTGTTTTTCAGTGTCCATCCTATATATATATATATATATATATATATATATATATATATATATATATAGAGAGAGAGAGAGAGAGAGATATACAAGGTGTTCATAAAGTTCATGTGCACTTTAAAAAAATTATAACTATTTGTATTTGCGATAGAAATAATTTGTAAAAAGGATTAGAAAGAAGTAAATCTATATTTTTTAAAGGTTTTATTGAAATTTTATTTAAGTTTCCACATGTCCTCCATCATTAGCAATACAAAGGGTAATACCTTGGAAAAAAATATTTTGTGCTAAAGAATTATTCAATAACTATACTTAAAACTAAGTTCATCAAACTTTATAACATTTTTTACAGCTTATTTCTATCGCAAATACAAATAAATTTATCAATTTTTAAAGTGAACACGAACTTTATGGACACCCTGTATATATATATATATATATATATATATATATATATATATATATATATATAAAATATAGTTTTAAGGTATACTATATTTATGGGTAAAAAGTGGTCAGTGTCAGAGATAGAGCGTATGTAAAAACAAGTGGACAGTGAGATCAGCCCCAAGAGCTGACAGTTTGTTTCATGGCTTAAGTCTGTGTTCAAGCATGAAACAGATTATCGCCGCTTCCTGTTGTACAAAAGTGTAATGTTTTACACACACACACACACACACACACACACACACACACACATATATATATATATATATATATTCAAATAAATAATTATATTTATGCTCTACTTTTGTATCGAGCACTATTTTAAAAAAATAATAACTAAAATACTAAGGAACTTTGGATTATTTACCTAACCAGTTCTTTCCTATTTTCTATATATTTTCTCACACACACACACACACACACACACACACATATATATATATATATATATATATATATATATATATATATATATATATATACATATATAATTATAAAAATATGGAATAAATCCTGAATTCTCCACCCCAGTAACGATGAAAGGTTAAACACCTACTGAAGATACTTGCTTACAGCGTTTTTCAGAATTCGAGTTTTTACCCGACCTTAAGCGAAACTTATATACATGACCCAACGTTAACGACATTGGGATAATGCGATTCCAGACTTCAACTGAAGACCTATTTATGCGTGAAATTATGATGCCTAAATCCCCACTGAATACGAGGGTCGATCAAAAAGTTGTCAGTTTCACCCAGAAAGGAAACTTATACTTGATCATTTTTCTTGTGGCAACACACTATTACTTCTTATAAAACTAAAACTCTAATTCAGATTTCACTCTTAATTTCCGTTCAGGTGAGGCTCATACAAAGTTAAAAGGTGTACAACAAATTCAAAAATGGACAAAACAGAGGTTTGAACAATCATAAATTATCTACAATAGAAAGGTATGATACACAAGGAAATTCATGAGGACATAGTTTAGACAAAAAGATGACCCTCGGTCAAATTGTCTAAAAACCTCAACCACTGATGCAAAGGTTGATACCATTCACAGTATGGTTTTGAATGACAGGTGTTTTACTGCCCAGTAGATAGCTCAGTCTATAGACATTAGTCCGGATTCAATCTGTTTTGACTTAGATCTTGGGGATATGCAAGACGTCTGCAACGATAGGTCCCAAGAATTCTGACGCCTGAACAGAAACTGAAAAGACTCTTCTGATTCACTTCCAAGCTGACCCTGAGAATTCCTGTCGCAGATTAGTAACTCAACATGAAAACTGTTTTCACCACTTGGAATCTTAATCAAAGATTCAAAGCAAAGAGTGGAAATTCTCTGCTTCTCCACCCGCGAAGAAATTCAAGCAGGCAGCGTCTGTTGGCAAGGCTTCTGATTTGTGGTCTTCTGAAGGCGTAAACATGATAGACTGCCTGAAAGAGAATGAAACTTAAAATGGACAGTATTAGGCATCAGAATTAAGACAACTGAAGGAAGCAATGAAGTCGAAACACAAAAGGAAACCGAGGACAGGTGTGCTCTTGCTCCAGTATAACGCTCCCGTTCACGATCTCAGGTTGCTGTAACTGAAACAACCAACCGTGGTTTTGACCAGAACGCCACCATCTTCTGCGATGGGAAACATAGCGTCTTGTTTCTCCAAATAATTCTGGCTGAGGTTTAGAACTTTTTGAACGATCCTCGTATTTATAGACACTCTTCTCTTCTAAATATAGCATATTTTAAACAATATATATATATATATATATATATATATATATATATAAAATGCACTGCTACTGAGACTGAATACTCCTCTTATATATATATATATATATATATATATATATTAAGAAATGGACAAGGTCCGATAATTTATTTATTAAAGACATATTTTTATGTTTAACGTTGTTATTTCATAGATACAAGTATTTAAGCAAATGCTCTGTTTATGATAAACAGTATTAAATAACATTTACCGGCCTGAATGTCCGAGAAATTTTCATAGAAAATTTTCGTTCTTTGACAGGATTCGAACCTGCATCCTATACGGAACCGTCATATACGCTGACGTGCCTTACCGCTTAAGCTACAAAGAACCAATCGGTAGACATTTCTTAATATATGACGTCATTTGTTTACATTCGATACGCCAGAGCAGTTATGAATGTACGAGATTCATGGAAAATTGGAGTTTATAAGCAGTAAATTCGACCTTGTCTACCGATTGGTTCTTTTTATATATAAGGCACGTCAGCGTATATGACGGTTCCGTATAGGATGCAGGTTCGAATCCTGTCAAAAGAACGAAAATTTTCTATGAAATTTCTCGGACATTCAGGCCGGTAAATGTTATTTAATACTGTTTATCATAAACAGAGCATTTGCTTAAATACTTGTATCTATAAATAACAACGTTAAACATAAAATATGTCTTTAATAAATATATATATATATAAGAGAAGATATTTATTTTATTATATATATATATATACTATAAATATATATATAATATATATTATATATATATATATAAGAGAAGAGTATTCAATATTCAGTCTTTATAATATATATATATATTATAATATAATATTATATATATATATAAATATATATATATATAAGAATATTCATAGCAGTGAATTTATATATATATATATATATATATATATATATATATATATATATACTGAATACTGAGACTGAGATATTTTATATATATATATATATATATATATATATATATATGGGTGTTCAACATCCGGGACGGAACGTGTGTAACTATAAGAGTAGACATTAAGGTCAAAACCAAGTCGTGACCGCCTGTATGATACAGGAGCGGAATCTTCATGACTGAGGATTACATTCAACCAGGAAACGCTCTTGTGCCACTCAATGTTGACACCAGTCCCCACTGAATATTATTTTAAGTTATGTTATATTAATTGGAAAAAGTGGTTAATGTCCAGGATACAGCTGTGGCACCATGCATACCTGACGAGCTGAGAGAAATATTCATAGATATATGATTTGTTTTTTACGGTTTATCAACCATTTAATAATTATTTAAGGCCAAAAAATATTTTGGGTTTTAAGAATAATTCTTTCTTTACATTCAAGCGATCTGGGAGAAAGAAAGAGAAAACGAAGAAGAAAGAAAGAAAAAATAATACGAAAACAGGTCATAGGCGAGCACACACACGCACGGCTGACAGATAACAGGTGTCGAAAAATATTCAGGTCAAGCATCTGACCGATTTCCCCGGATCCGCGAAAAAT